CTGGGGCCCAGTCCCCCCTCCAGCCCCACATGGTAGCTGTGGGTGGGCCTCGGCTCTTCCCAGAAGGAGGCAGGCAGCTGTCTTTTCCTCATGGGCACCTGGCCAGGCCGGGCAGCTTCTGGATGCTGCCCCTGGGGGAGCTGCTCCTTAGCAAGACATTCCTCCCTGCAGGGGTTCCTCAGCACCTTCTCCTTGCAGCCCCCACCCCCGCCAGGGCTGGAATCAGGGCCCAAATCAAGGAGCAGCCTCCCGGGCTGGTTGTCAGGCCCCCTTTTCAGGTAGGGCTCTGTGGCCCTGCCCGGAAGGCCCCGAGGGAGCCGGGAATACTTCTGAGAGAAGCGTTTGAGCTGCTTCTGCAGGTACTTGCGATGGTCCACGGAGCGTCGGCAGGGCGCAGACTTGTCCAGGGCTGCCTTGATGTCGCTGGACGCCAGGTTCACGAAGTTCAGCAGCATCTTCACATCACTGTCAGATGCCATCACCAGGGGGCCACCGCACGAAGCTTTCCATGAAGAGGGTGGGCTCTGCTGTTGGCTGGCAGCTCCGGGGAAGGACACCGAACTGACCTGGGGGACATAACAGGCCATCGGAGTCTCTCCAAGCAACCACACCCAGCCCTCCCAAAAGACCACAGCACCTGTCTGCAAATGGTGTCCCCACCCCAGCACCCCTCAGCCCTAAACAGCGTCCTGGGTAGAGGGCTGCGGGTGCAAGTGGCTGAGTGCTGTCTGCACACCTGGAAAGCCGCGGGCGCTGGCACAGCCCCGTCCAGCCAGCTTGGGTCTGGTGCCCTCCTCTTGCAGCCAAGGCTCAGAAAGGTCAAGCAGCTCACCCAAGGTGACCCAGCTACAGGTGGCATTGCTGGGGGTGGCACACGAGACCCCGCACTCCCAGCCTGCCCTGTTTCCCACACGCCATGGTGCCAAGGTGTGCAACTTGCCGGTGAGGTGTTTATTCTCTGAGCTGAAGTGACTGCTCCACTTTAAAGCAAGGCCAAGCCCCCTTCCTCCCTGGTGGTAGCCTCCCCCTCCCATCACTCCCGCCCCCAGCCCAAGGAGCACAGCCCCCCTCTTCAGTCCCCACGCTCCACCCCCAGCTCTCACGCAGGACCAGGCAGGACCCCTGTCTGGCACTTAATCGAGACCTGCCTTGCGGGCTGATCTCAGGCTGTGGGCAGTAGGGACTCCCCCGAAGAAGCATCTGCAGCAATTTCATGCCTCCTCCGCCGCCACCCACGCACCTCGCCCCTCCCCCCGGCCCCAGCCTGCCCCACACCCGCCACCCAGCCGGGCCAGAGCCGCCGGGCCTCCACACTGACCAAAGGTGCCGGCCGGGGCCCGACCAACGTGGCCCGGCAGGTTCCCCGCTGCAGACCTGGGACAGGCCCCGGCACAGCCGGCCGAGCTCCGTCCGGCTGGAAGCAGTTGTGCAGCCCTTGAGTGGGCTGAATGGAGGACAACTCCCCGGAGCTGGGGGGCCCCTCAGGCCAATCAGGAGCGCCTCTCCAGATACAAAGCATCCCAATCAGGCGGCGGCGCCCCGTTCCCACATTCTTTGCCGTCACAAATTGTCACCATGGGGACCATCACAAAAAAGACAGCTCCCAAATGCAATCATTTCCCGGTAAATTTCTACCCTTCAGCCCCACTCTCCTCGGACTCCACGCCCCGCCTCCCCTTGACCTCGGTTCCCTAGTTTCTTAAGGGGGTGGGATGTGTGTGTGTGTTTAAAATGTCCAGGATGGAGAAGGGGTTGGGCCTGGTGGAGACGGGCTTGCAAACCTCCCCCCAAAGACTCCAGGCCTACAGCTGCCATGCTCCAGTGCAGACAGACAATCGGACGGGGTAAGCCGGGGCGGGCTGCTTTTCCCGCTGTCCTTGAGTGTTGAGTGGCTCTCTCGCTCTCACTCCTCTCTCTATCTCTGCGTCTCTCTCTCTCTCCCCCTCTGCCACCCCCACTACCCTCTCTGCCAGGATCCCCCAGGGATCCGGCATGGAGGACCTTCGAGGTCGGGAGGTGCGCTGATGCCTGTCGGAAAAGGTGGCCGAGGAAGGACTCTCTAACGAGGTGCTGGGATATCCATGGGAAGGGAGCTGGAGCTCTCAGGAATCTTGTCTTTATGTTTGCTTCCTCAATTGAGCTGCACAAAGCCTGAATTGCCCATTCAGCGCAGCCGGACAAAAGGTTGGCGTTGCACGGTCCCCTTGCATTTGTAGTCAAACAGTTAGGGACTTAAATCGAGTCGTCATGATGGAGAAAGAGGTGGACAAAGCCCATAGAATTGCCATCAGCAAACATTTTCCTGTGTCATATTAGCCAGTTTCCATGGCTCCCCCTGGCCTGTGGACAATGGCACAAGTTTGCACACTTGGCTACTGTCACCGTGCCAACGCTGGCGGGGCTGCAAGCAGGGCTTCTCTGAGCGAGCAAGGGAGCCCAGCATCGGCGCTGGCCCTGCCCACTAACTGGCCAGAGGGAAGGTGAGGCTGAAGGCGAGGGCGGCTGCCTGGGAAATGCTAATGGTCGCGCCTCAGTGCCAGCCAGCTCACGGGCCCCTCTCACTCCTTGTCATCTTCTTGCCCAGGCTCAGCCTCCTCTTCTCCCCTCCTCCTCTCCTTCCCCTTCCTTTCCTCTTCCCCTTCTACCGCCTTCTCCTCCTGTCTCCCTCATCAGCCAGATGGCTGATGGTCTACGTGCCAACCAACACCTCCATACTACAACCTAAGATGCCAATGACTCCTCTCCAGAGTCTCCCCGCCCAGACTGGGGGCACTGGCAGGGCAGGGCCAGGGCTTCCAACCAGGAGTGATGGCCCCACTCCTTCCGACTGGCCAATAGGCAGCTGCTATGGCCTGACTCCAAGCCATCCCCCCTTCCCCCAGCCTGAGGGTCCCTACAGGCAAAATGAAGAGTTTGGAGGAGATGGCCCAGTGCTGACAAGCTGTAACTCAATTTAGGGCCTGAAAGCCAGCACTGTATTCTTCTTGCCCCTACCCTGCTGCGGGGTCGGGGAAGTGTGGACCAAGATGGAGGTGCTGCTGGACTGGAGACTCTAGATTGTCGGCCACTGCGTGCCCTGGGGGGTTGCTCCTACCTGCAGCAGCCTGTGTATGGGTGAGAGCCAAGCCTTCCTCATTTTGAGAGCCAGACATGTGCGGGCTCTATGTTACTGTAGCACGTCCTGGCCCATCCTGACTGGGACAGGCAGGAAACATCCTTTCTGTTCCAAAATGCCTGGCACACATGGCTGGAGAGAGCGCCCTGAGGGCCCATGGCCATCAGGGCCAGTCCCCTGCTGCCTACGGCGTGTGGCCGGTGTGCACAGCCAAGAGTTCCAACCTCTCTGGCAGCCAGTACCTGACCAAGTAACTGCTTGCTTCTCTGTGCTCTGCCCTTTCCACCCAGGTTTCTGCACTCTATGTGGGCTGCATCTTTCCTGTCTCTGGAAGATCTCCTCTCTTCTAAGGGCATCAAGATCTTTTGGAGCCACTCAGCTCGGCTCCCAGCTTCCTCAAGATCCCATGGCACCTGTAGCCCTGCCTGCCCGTTCTGCACTGCCCATTTGTGAAGCTGTCTCTCCTTTCTTAGCCAGTAGTGTGCCTCCCCACCAGGGAGGACTCCATGGGAGGTGAGTTGATGTCTTATAAAACTCTCTCCATAGTTCTTAACGCAGACTCTTTTTCCACCAAACACTTTTTGAGGAAAGAGAGGAGGAAGAAAGGAAGAAAAGAGGGAAGAGAGAAAGGAAGGGGAGAGAAAAGTGGAAGAAAATGGATTATATGTGGACACACAGCACATGCCAACAGCTACAAGAGCCGTATTCGATGACCACACGAAGACCTCACGCGGCCGCTCCGTGAGAGTGGCGGTGCGTTTGCCCCTGACAAATGAAGTAAGCGAGGTTGAATTGCTTTCCCAAGACCGCATAGCATTAACCAGCAGAGTTTGAACTTGAAGCCAGGCCCGTCTGTGTGCAAAGGCTGAGCTGGATCTGCCTCGCCACATGGCCTCCTGGAGCACCAGACCCTGCCTAAGTGCTGCCGGCTGAGAAGACCAGATTTTCTCCACGCGTCCGGCATTCCACTCTTCTAGCCCAACGTTGGAACTTCCCGGCTCAGGAATACGGGGAGCTGCAGCTTTGGGAAGTCAGGATCGGGGAGAGAAGGCAGCTGTGGCTTAAGGCCAGGCCTCTGGATACCTCTGACACAAGGGATGGCTCCTCTGTGTTTTTCTGATTGGCCATATAGGCAGGAGGAAAGACAGCAGTAATCATGCGAGTCATGAGACTCTCGCAGTGTTCACTCATTATCTGCCTGCATCTGGGCGGGGAGGGGATTATTTCCCATTTACAGTTGGTAACACCCCCACAGAAGCCTCAAGCGTGATTCTTGGGCCGAACTCAGCCAATCCTGTCCTCTCAGCAATTCTTCAAGGCCCAGCTCAAACATCCCCTCCTCCAGGATGCCTTCCGCCAACTTACAGCGTTGTTAATAACACCCTCTCCCATGCCTGTGTGCCTGGAGCCAAAGATGAAGTTTAACCTCCCAAACACAGAAGGCCCTTTGTAATCTGATCCCTACTACAGCCTGGCACAGAGTAGCTTCTTACTAAATGTTTATGAGTTAAATACTTTGCCCATTCCACTGAACAGGACTTTTCCTGTGGACTGTAAACAGCTGCTGCCTTTTTTTTTTTTTTTTTTTTTTTTTTTTTTACCCCACCCAGGTGAGCTGAGCCCACCAGGTGAGCTCCAGGAGGGAAGGGAGCTCGTCTGCAGGTTTCTCTCTTTATCTCTGGCTCACTGCCACCTCTGCCTCCCAGGTTCAAGTGATTCTTCTGCCTCAGACCCCCGAGTAGCTTAGATTACAGACACGTGCCACCACACCCAGCTAATTTTTGTATTTTTAGTAGAGACAGGGTTTCATCATGTTGGCCAGGCTGGTCTCAAACTCCGGACCACAGGTGATCCACCTGCCTCAGCTTCCCAGAGTGCTGGGATTACAGTTGTGAGCCCAGCCTAAAAAAACTTCTCTTATGATCATAGGACAGTCATCCAATGAATGGAGTCCCTGGAGAAACTATCACCTGCACCCCGAGGAGTTCACCTGACTGCCCAAGTTCACCCGTTGGCAGCCTAGCATGTCACCTTGTGAGTTAAAATGCATTTGAATGTATTTGTTTGTTGGTACATGTTTGGTAATGTTTTAAATTGCCAAAAATACCTGTTAAAGGAGATTTTACATTTTCATACCTCTACAGGAAATTCAGTTCCAAAAGATGGGCCGACTTCTCATTTTAGAGATGACGACAAAAGGCCCAGAGAGGGACAGTGATTCATCCAAGGCGGCAGAGCCAGTCAGGAAGAGCACCCGGGAGGGAGCCCCGGTCTGCTGACCCCACCGTATTCATTCTCACACCTGATCATATGAGTGTAAAGTTCTAGTTGATGGAAGGACATGACATATATTGTCCTTTGTTCTTCCCAGGTGCCATGATTACTCTCTTTAATGGATGAGGAAATTGAGGCACGAATGGGCTTGGAAACTTGCCGAAGTTCCCACCGGCAGTAAATGACAACGCTGGGGTGGGGATGATCCTAAGATGCTGCTCCCACCGACAGCTGTGAACCAATGCGAGGGCCCATCTTCCACCCAGGGCCCGTGCTAGCCTGGAGCTGCAGACTCTCCCCAGCCACCCCTGCCCAGGAGAGATAGGCCTGGCCGACCACGCCAGCTCGGGAAACATAACAAAAGCCACGCAGAGGACAGAGCAGCCCGGCAGTGCCTCTGTGGATGTGCGACGTAGACATCACAAGATGATTTATGTAACTTCTTACATAATGACAATATTTCTATCAAAAACCAGCCCAAGGCAGGCTGTCAGCCGTAATCAGAACGGACGTGCTTCTTGCTTCCTGAGAACAGGAGGCATCGGGTCAAAGCAAACCCCTTTGGCTGCCAGGCTAAGGGCTTCCTGACCTGCTGAACTTGCCTGGTGTGGCTGTGTCCTCAGAGGAGGCAGAGACCTGGTAATGCCCCAGAGGAGTCACAGCCCGGCTCAGCCAGCCCCATCACCCCTGGCTGCAGCCCACCTCCAGCGACAGAGACCACTGTCAGTGTGATCAAATACCACACTGGAAGAGGTTTCAACCACATTATTGTACCATTAGAGGGAGACTGGCTTTGGAGATGAGATCTTTGAACTCAGCCCCTACCTGGCTGTGTGATCTTGAGGTAGTCACTCACCCTCTCTAGGCCTCAGTTTCCTGGACGAATTACATCATCAATTCTTGACCTCCATGCTGAGCACATGGATATGGTGCTAGCATGCCACAAGTCGGTGCTACTTATATGTGGCAAATGATTTACTTTTTCCTAATATAAATCAGTGCGATTCAACCTCATCAAATCAGGTAAGACCATGTGCAGTCCCCCGTGGGTTCTTGAAAGGGATATGAATGAGTGGGGTTGGAGCTGGTGAGTCTGCGAACTCAAGCCCCAAGAAAAGAGGACAGCCCAGCCCATCTTCACCATGTGGAGTCTCAAGAGGGGTGGGGTTCAGGCAAATAGTTCCATGTTGAATAACAGTGGTACAAGCAGACCTCTGTGTCTTGTTCCTGATTTTAGGGGAAAAGCTTTCGGTCTTTCACCATGGGATGGGATGTAGCTGTGGGAATTTTGTAGATCCTCTTTATCAAGTTGAGGATACTTTCTTCTATTCCTAATTTTCTGGCAGTTCTGGTCATGAATGGATGTTAAATTTTGTCAAATGAATTTTCTGCATCAATTTACATGAACATGTTTTTTTTTTCGTTAGCCTGTTTACAATTTTTATTATGCTAAGATATAACATCAAAACATTTACTATTTTAGCCTGACTTTCTTTTCCTTCCATTCTTTCTGTTTCTTTCTCTCTTTTTTTTTTTTTTTTTTTTTTTTTTTTTTTTTTTTTTTTTTTTTTTTTTTTTTTTTCCTGTGTACTTAGTACTCAGTTTTTTTGGAGACAAGGTCTTGCTCTGTCACTGCAGTACAGTAACACAATTATGGCATCCCGCAGTGTCCTGACATCCTGGACTCAAGCAATCCTCCCACCTCAGCCTCCCAGTAGCTGGGGCTACAGGTTCGTGCCAACACACCCAGCTAATTTTTAAAAATTTTTTGTAAAAATGAGACCTCACTATTTTTCCCAGGCTGGTCTCCTTTCATAGAAAGGAGATCTCATTATTTTTCCCAGGCTGGTCTCCTTTCGTAGAAAGCAGATCTCACTATTTTTCCCAGGCTGGTCTCCTTTCATAGAAAGCAGATCTATATATTTTTCCCAGGCTGGAACTCCTGAGCTCAAGCAATCCTTCTGTCTTGGCCTCCCAAAGTGCTGGGATTATAGGCGTGAGCCACCACACCTGGCTGCATTTTATTTCTGATGTATCAATCTATAGCTTATCTCTTTTTGTCAGTCTTGCTAGAAGCTTGTTAATTTCATTGATCTGTTTAAAGAATCAGCTCTTTTTTTTATTTTTATTTTTCTATTTCTTTTTCCGTTTTCAGTGTCATTGACTTCTGCTTTTGTTATTTCCTTTATTTTTCTTACTTTGGGCTTATTTCACTTTTCTTTTCCTGAGGGGATGACTTTGATCATTGATTGAGAGCTTCCTTGTTTTCTAATGTAGGCCTCTTAGTGCTATAAAATTTCCTCTCAGCACTGCTTTGGCTGCATTTCACAAATTTTGATATGTTGTGCTTGCATTTTTGTTTGGCTCAGCGTATTTTTGTTATTTTCTTTGAGATGTCCTGTTCGACAACAAGAAAAACCTATGTGAGTCTTTCTTGGCAACAAGAAGACCTATGTTGGACTTTTCTGGGGAATTTATAATGCTCAACAAGTGGTTCTAAAGCATTTAATTAACGCCTACTATGTACAGGACATTTTCTGAGGTGCTGGGAATAGCAAAATGAATACGAAATCCATTCCAACAGTCTTGAAAATAGTTTACTGACCTCTTATTAAATGCTGAATGATGTTCCAAAAACTTCATGTGTATTAACACCTTCATACTGAGGTGGATGTTGCTGTTGTGCCTATTCTACACATGAGGACACTGAAGCACAGGTTGACTAAGTGACTTGCCCAAGACCCTACAGCCAAAAGGGGTGAAGCTGGAGTGCAACCCAAGCCAATTACTGTGGTTTTATGATTAATCATCACGATCAGTAAGCTCCGAGCCTCCTATTCCTCACCCTTGAAGTGGAGCTATGAGTGGTTCCCTGGCGAGTTACTGATGAGGACTAAGACATCAGCCATGAAAATCAAACGAACACGCCACCCGGTTCATAATCGGCGCCCTTCCCTCACCTCCGCCTGTACCCTGGGCTGGATATAATGACTACCCAGATGAAGCCATAAAGAAGGGCTAGTGGGACAAAAATGACACGGCAGTGTCTGTGCCCTGCGGGACGTCCTAAATGGACCACCGCCCCACATTCGCACCTCTGCTCTGCACACTCCACCACCCCCACACGTCCATCACCTTGACTGTGTCTTCCAGCACTGATAGGCCTCGTCGCTCACCCGGGCACCGACCAGGAATGAAAAGTCTGTTTGATCTCAACCGTCACCTCTGGTTCGATTGGCGATGGCTGGCAGGTGCCCTGTGGAGAGATTCCGAGGGCTCAGCAGATAGAACGCTCTGATCAACTAGTGATGTCTTCCCTGACGGAGAATGGAGATGAAGCTGGCTGTGTGCCAAGTGTCCCTGGATCCAGTTCAGAAATACAGGGTGGAAAGCCAGGGATGTCAATACTTGGTGTTCTGGTGATCCAACTTTACAATTTTAATCAAGGGATTGGAGCCCCTGGAGAAAAGCAGTGACTTATTCAAGCACACATTCCTATGACCAAGATTCAAGTTTTCCACCTCCCAGGCCAGAATTCCTCAGGTCCGTTCAATAGACATTTGTTACTAATTTCAACTCCAAGCCAGGCACTGACTTAGATATCTTAGATATCACTGACATAATAGCTATCTTACACATCTCATAGTGTTTATTCTCACAACAACCTTCTGTGATAGATCCTAGTATCATTCCCATCTGGCAGATGAGGAAACTGGGAATCAGGTAGGCTAAAGAACTTAACAGCTAGTGAGAGGCAGAGCCAAAATTCAAATCCTTACTTCCTGATTCTGAACCTGGGATCTTTCTAACATGTTGCTTTGTTTCAAGAGTAAGAGGCAGCAGTGATGGCAACAGCCATAGCTGGAGTCAAGGCACCGGGACAGAGAGTGTTAGGCATTTCGGAGAGCAGAGACAGTGAGAAGTTCAGTCCAGCGGGGGAGAGGTCGCTGCAGGGAGTGAGGTGAGATAAGGTTAGGTAGAAAGGTTGAATCTCTCATGTATTTTTCTGCATGGAATAGGCATGTAATACATGCTTAATGACTGAATGACTGACTGACTGAATGAATGAATGAACAAACCAGAACATGGAGTAAAATGGTTGGTTGGCTCCTGAGTCATTTGGGAGCTCCAATAGCCAGTCATAAAACAATCTGTAAACAGCAAGTGCATCCTCAGTCCCTGACTCCCACCCCTCTGGTCACACTGTCCCTCAGGTATGTTGCATAAACAGCATACCCTCATCAGAGAGGATCCCTTGCCTCCTGGGATGGGGGTTTCCAAAGGAAAGGTGATGGGGCAGGGGTCTAACTCCCATTGAATACTGCAATTCCCCAAGAGTTGGATATTTGCCATCTCATTTAATCCCCACTAAACAAATACAACAATGAGTCAATAAAACGTGAGATGGGTATTGTTCTCCCCATTTGACAGATTCAGAAACCGAGGATCAGGGAGATAGAACTCTCTCCTAGTCACTGAGATAGGTGGCAGAGGAGCTGGGGTTTGGGCTCAGCCTGTGTCTACAGCGCCCTTAGGGGAAGGTGGGGTCGGGGGTGGGCATTGTGCCCTCTTGCCTTACAAATTCCCAGCCCCCTCCCCTGCCACCTGGAGTACCTGTCCTACTTGAGTAATAGAAGTCTCTTCATCGGCATCTATCATTTAGCTCCTGGCCTCTGATCACAGCTGTCTGTAACCCAAATCTAGCCCATAACACACTTTTTCAAAATTCTCTGAATATGCCATCATTCCTCAGGAAAGGGGCATTTGCATCATCAGCCAAAGGGCCATCCTCGCCTGCCTTGGCATTCCGTTCCCATGCTCCCTGACTCAGTCCTGGTGGGGCATGCTGGGACTATGAAGAATTACTGCCATGAGTACTGCCGCCCCCTTACCTCCACCGAGGTGAGCTCTCCTAGACCAACATTGGCCCCTTGGATGGCATTCCAGTGCCTGGCACATGGTAAACCCCTTGGAACATGTTTGTCACCCACAGAGGCAACTCACACACCTTAGGAGTTAGACAATTGCATTTTGCTCCTGCCTCCCTCATCTGGGCAGTGATTTCATCTGTGTGGGCCTAACACTTCTTATCTGATAAGCTTGGCAGAAACAGTGCCCAACTCCCGGGCTGGGGCCCCTTCCCAACAGGCTAAAGGATGAATTGGGGTTGTTTTAGCTCTGCTGGTCTGGGGTGGAGGGGAGACTGGGAGGAAGAGTGTAAGGCAGGGGAATAGGGTCTGGAGGCAGGGACCCTAGGGAGAGTCACACTGACTTCCTAGAACTGAATCAAAAGGAAAACCCCATCTTTCCACACCAAATAACAAGGATCAGAGGCTGCTCCCTTAAACCCTACCCGTTTTCCCACTATGTTGCAGATGAAAAATGTAAAGTACCTCTGATCGATCCCCTCCTGCCACCAGTCAGACTGGTCATTTATGTAGGGTGTAACTCTATATAATCAATGGGAAACCTCCAGAGGGCACTTAAACCGTAGAAGATTTGCAGCCAGTGCTCGTGAGCCACTTGCTCAAGCCTGCTTCTACTCTATGGAGTGTACTTTCGTTTCAGTAAATCATTGCTTCATTCTGTCATTGCTTTGTTTGTGCATTTTGTCCAATTCTTTGTTCAAAATGCCAAGAACCTGGATGACTCGTAGTCAGGACCCTCCACCGGTAACAAGCATGTAGACAATAGATAAAGGAGAAGACAGGGAAGTGTCAGACTCGGGCTTGAGGGCGCAGACCACTCCCAGGGTGAGAACTCTTGCTGATTTTTCAACAGATCTCAGCCAGTCCTCCCCAGAGCAAGAAGCATGGCGGTGGATGTGGGTTCACGTGTGTTCAGTGGAGCTTACAGTTGGGTCTGTAGCCACATCCCCAGGGTGAGGGTCCCCAGATGAACCCTGACCAGGGCCTAGTCAAGCAAGAGCCTCTTCTCTCCCCCTTCCCTCTTCCATTGCCAGTGATTCCTCTAACCTTATCCACTGGTCATCCTTCACCAGCCACATCCGTTCCCTTGCTGTT